CACCAAGTTTTTCATGATAATAAATTCTATTTGCAATAAAGGTAATAAAATTTTTTACATGTTTTTGGCATTAACTTTTACGTTAAAAAAAGCAAGTTTTTGTTCTGGCCAAGGGCATTGTTGGTTTTTTTGTTTTGTTTTGTTTTGTTTTTTTTTCATAAAAGAACGCCGATATTTATTGTTCTATGAGTACGGCTACTATTATCAAAAGTGTTTGCGAAGCATTCTATTCTAAACGTAAACATTCGTAATCGAAGCATGCATTCCTCTTCGTATAGACGATAGAAAAAAATGTTCTCTATTTTGCTCCAACTACACCAATAATATTTATCCCGCATTAGGTACATTGCATACTCTATTAGTATTAGATAATGACGTATCGTTTAATTTGTAAAATGCCATCATCTTGCACGTCGACCCATACTCGCGGCTTGGTCAATTAGCCGTTCGCGAATTAATCAAATTACCAAGAATTAGAAGCAGGCTGTTTGAATTACGCGTGACTTTACAGACATTACATAATAGGAAATAATATTAATAATTACAAGTCTTATTAAGCAACTTCTTACTGATTAATTACAAGTTTGCTAAATCATTTCTTCTAGAAAGGGACATTAAACAAATGGATAATGTCGAATTTTTTTCTGTGTTGATTTTTGCAAAATAAACTCAATATTTTTGTCATTGCGGTAATCAGACGGGATGGATCTTATTGATAAATTATTTTCGAAAAGCAATTTTCCTTACCACCATGAAGAAGAAAAACGTTATTAGAGAAAAAAGTTTAAAGACTTGCACCAGGGATGGGTTAAATATAATCTTTTATACAAATTTTATACACGTTTATACGCTTTGTTTAACTAATTGTTATTCTGCAAAGTTACTATCAATATAAATCTAGTCTATTTTGCTTGCTAAATGTCATTGTCTAATTAGTGTTGTTTACCTTTTGCTTTAGCTCACAAAATTCGCTGATCTTGCTTCTATCACAGTTTTCTAATGATGCAATACTAGAAAGCAGTTTTAACCTGAACGGAGTTTTTAAACCAAAAACCCCCCGCAAGTAAAGGAATTGACGAGTTCCAGAAGTCACTCGGATGATAAAACAGCCCAAACTTTAATACTGAATGTCAAACTAAACGTTCGATTTGTGAAATCATTTAGATTGTCAAAAATAACTTCTCAAACCCTTTTATTTTAAGCTTCTCAATATCATGGCAGAATAATAGTTAATTTATGTAACGTGTAGGCATCTTGAGTACTATTTTGCCCATAGAGTGGTTATGATCTTGCGACGTGACCGAGTTTTCTTGTCGGTATTACATGCATAAGAATAGAACGCACAAAACGTATTACATAGTCAACCTCGTTAATCCGAAGTCAACGGACCGAGGCTTAAGTTTAGATTAACGGCATCTTCGGATTAACGAGGTTTGTTCTCAATAATCCGAACTTGCTATTGGATTCTTCGGTTTGCACTTAAATCTTTATTATTGTTTAGTTATTATTATCACAACGTACACAAAATGGTTCTACACGCTTCCACCTGCTAACATCTGATTATATCGTCTCGCTTTGAGGTGCAAAAAAACTGTCAAGATGTAATTGTTGCTTACTTTGTATTTCAAGCACTTTAATCATTCTCTAAGATCGACTACAAGACGGTGATTGATGTCGAATTTTGTCGCACATTCTTGTCTAATAAATCATCGATGTTTTCATCCTCGTATTCTTCACACGGTTCTGGTGTTTCAATGCCTGTGACAATTTCTATAACGTCTTCACCAATTGGTATTCTCTCAGTCTCTCCAAAGAAATGATTATCTATCTCGGCAATCTTTAATTTTTTCTTTTGTCTTTTGGCTTACGGTTCATTATGAAAAATAAATTCAAAGAGAGAGTTAAGCTTCATAAGCTGATGAGATTTTTCGGATTAACGAGATTGATTATGTAGTTGACTTTTTTAATTAGACGCGTATTTTGGAAGGAAATAAAGCCTATGCATTTTACTCCAAAAAATTTTTCGCGCACTATATCTTTGGAGCCTTTATGGTCGGCGTAATTATCCTCACTCGGACAAATTTGCCTTGGGTATTGCCGAGAGTTGTATGCTCGTAGTCAAAGCTTCAGAACCGTTTTCGTAGACAATAGCTTCATTCAATGCAAGCACAGGTTCCATATGAGTTTGCATGTTTCATGCGCGTTTTCGGTTCCGCCATTCAAAGACCGACAACCACAAACATATTTAAAGACATTATCTCCCAAATTCTTTAACCATTGCAATATTTTGCTTATTTGAAAATCAAAATTGGTAAACACATAAACTCTCTCCTCAATGCTAACACCACCAAAGAAGGGCTCAAGCAAAAGGAGGTCTTCAGCTCTCCAACCTACGAACAACTCGTCAGCTACCCAACCTACAAACTTAAGACCTTATTGGAACGAAAAAGTCGCGGCATGGTTTCAGAAATTGTAGTTACCCGTTATGACCGACTCTGCCGCGACCTCATCAACTCCCCTGATACTACAAACTTATAGTTTTTGTCAACAAAACGACACGAACTTTCCCAAGATATCCTTGCAATCAAGCAAGGAAGAAGAGTCGCCCAACGAGAATCTCAAACAAGGAAAAAAGCGCAAGATCAGGACAACAGCAGCACACAACAAACGACAACACGTGGAAGCTCTCCATTGTACACTGCTAATCAAAGTATATCCAAATTACCTTCAAAAGCAGCTATTAAAACGGTGGATGGGCTTGTTGAGATATGCTTATAATGCAGTTGTCCGCTGGAGTCGATACCGCCGTTTCTATACCAAAGATTCGCATCACGACGGGTTTGGATAAAATCTCAATCTATTGAAAGTAAGCTTAAGATTTACACGGATGTTTGTGTAGGAAAAGACGTTAATGAGCAATGAGAAAAAGAGACTTTAAAAATCATGCGTGTGGGGTGAACGCAATGCTGATTCAAGGTACACATGGCAAAGTGCCTTCAAACGTTATCGATGAGGCGATTGGTGAAGCATTAACTGCTAGGTATGATTGTTATTTTTCGATTTTTTTTTTTTTTTTTTTTTTTTTTGTTTTGTTTTGATTTATTTATTTATTTATTCATTTATTCATTTGTTTTAGGGACAAGATAATTAACCAAAATGTAGGCCCAACCACGAATCGAAAAGAATTTTTCAAAATCCACGTGGAACCGTTTTTATACGTACGTATCACCCATCTCCATAATCCATCAATGCTTTCCGCATACCGTCATAATAAGAAGCCTGTTATCACTCTGGACGACAAACGCGATTTGTGGATAGAATAACGTCCGATTGCAAGATCACATATATTCGCAAAATTAATGAATGGAAATTTTCGGGTTTACGAGACGCAAAAACAACTCCGCGAAACCCAAGCGGATAGTTCTATTCATGCAGTTTTCCATTGACCCTGGCGGTCGTACACCCTTCACATGATACTCTCCTACCAAAGGTGTAGGTAAAATTGGCCAATACGACATTGGACAAATTATTCGTCTATGCAAGCATATGGATAATCTTCTTTCTATAAAGGACATGCTGGCTGCCTCTAGTTCAAAACGTAAGAAGAAAAAGACCTTGCGACTTGACAAGGCAATCTTTCAGATGCGACGAAAAATCAAACACCTGCAAAGTGAAATTCATAAAAAGAGTGTCGCATTTTTTACTCGCGAATTTGACGCCATTATCATTCCTCCTTTTGAGGTATCGAATAAGGTAAATCGAAAAACAAGAAAGATAACACGAAAAACCGTTCGTAGAATGCTCTGTTGGGGCCACTATCAATTTCGCCAACGTCTGGTGGCTAAAGCAGAAGAAAACTTGCAGCTGGTGTGGGAGCGTTCAAAAAATAGGAGAGGGACTGTGGATGAAAATGGCGCTCGGAGAATCTTCCTCCGGGCATTGCTTGATGGAGCCTTGATTCTCTCCGGGGATCATGCAATCATACAGTCAACTGCCTTTAATTCGTCCAAAGTCATCGGTCGAATTAACGACAGACGTACTTAATATTAAGGAAGAACAATAATATTAAAAAATCGGGTCTTGCTCAAGGCGATCGAATTACCGGGAAGTTCCCTCATTTGTACCCCCTTCATTTATATTAATTTTATTGGTAATATATTCTGTTAACAAGGTCTGGCGTTTAGACTTTCTACCAACTCATCTAAACGTCGAATTATATATATCACGAACGTATCTAATATCTTCTTCAGTTGTAAATTCACTTTGTTCTGAAAATTTTTTAACTTTCAAGTGATATATTTTTTCTTTGTTTTCTACGTCACTTGAATTTGCAGGTTTAGCCATATTTAGGGAACGAAAAATTTGATTTGAAGAGAATTTATCAGTGATGGGTCAATTAAACACAGTTCTTTAGTATTAGTATTAGTAAGATTGTAACAGTAAATGATTTGAATTTCGTAAAGTAAGAAAGTGATATGTTTATAATTATTATGGGAAATTGGGATATTGGGGATATTGGGGATAGGGATATCTGAGTGGGATACAACTGAGGGAAATTTATACAGAGATACAATAGTCCAGCATCAAGACTGGGGTTATTATTATATCCGAAGGGTGGGTATTAAAATTGCTTGTGTTACTCAATTACAATTAATAAATATATTTCAGTTATATCCCCGCTTCCCGAGGTGGGGACATAAACGAGGGACGACTGTATATCATAAATTTCATAAATCAACCAATGATTGCTGATTGCTAAAATTTTAATAATGAATTCCTTCGCGGCTCTACGTATATGGAAATCATACTGATACTATCTTTACAAAAAAGCGATGTTAGGAAAACGCTCAATACTTGGACTCTCAGATCTTCTGGTTTATTTTTCTAGTGAATCCGCACAGATTCTTTGTGTCTAGTGTCTGTGTTGCCAATGCAACCTCAAATGGGTAACAAACACAGATTCTTTGATTCTATCTCTCTCATATTTGCAGGAACATATCATGGCTCTCTCAAAAGTCAAAGTAGTAGTAGGCATCGGTATGTGAAAAAATTGTTCTAACCTCGTATGTTTTGGATCAAACATCAACATAACCGAGACCGTTTTTATGTCGATGAATTGTTATTAGATTTTGGAACAACTTGTAGTAAGTTTAAGAAACATGCGCACCCGGAGATGAAGAAAGTTATAAAGACAGAACGACAAGCTAATTGTTCTTGGTTCATGGTAAAGGCGGAATTGCATTTGCATATAAAGGCGACGTACGACAAATAGAAGTTAATGACAAATGGTAAACGAAAATGATACGTCTATATTTCGAAAACGTTTGTTTCTTTCCTCCGACCACTCCGTTTACGCTTCGCATGCACTTGTACCTTTTCCCACTACCGAAAATTTTAATCACCTAGGCCAGGCCGCCTCGGCCATTTGAAAACAAACACAGCCATTCTTTACGACGAAGACTGGAAAGTTTTGAAATGGGGAGCTGCTGCTTACCTTGGTCGCCCGCGGGCTAGGGATGCCGAGAGTAGGCGTCAATTAAAGCCAGTAGATCTATTCAAGTTACATTTGGGTGACAATATGCCCGGCGAAAAGCCGCAACTACCACCAGGATTGGATTTTAAGAAAGCTATCAGTGATTATTTGGCCGAATTGTGGCAAGTAAGTTGTGCAAAGAGGGAGAGAGGGGGGAAGGGGGAGTAGGAAAAGAAAAATTCTGGTTTCTACTACCTTGTATGTTAAATTCACTACAGTGCACAAAAGAAATTCTCGAAAAACGTTGGCCTGCAGTTTCGATGGATGAAGAGGTCCTAAAGGTCTTGACAATTCCTGCAGAATTTAACGAAAATACGAAAGCAGTAATGAGAAATTGCGCAGCTAATGCAAAAGTTATCGATCACGTTGATTCACCGTTACTTGAATTTACTACAGAGCGTAAGTGAAGATATTGCGGGCAAATGACCGAGATGGTGACTACGTATTGAATTTAGACTTGTTCATGTTTTTATTGTAGCGGAAGCAGCTGCTATTGATTGTTTAGCAAAAGTTGAAGATCATTACAATTTGGAACCGGGAGGTAAAACTCTGTTTGATTGATTACGCTCAACTGTTAGCTAGTCTTTCCTAATTCTATTTTCTCACTCCTATTCTTCCATCAGACAGTTTCTTAATAGTCGACTGTGGTGGTGGTACAATAGATCTGACAACCCATACTCTCCTCCACGGCAAACGTCTCTCAGAGATTACCGAACGCACTGGCTGTTTTTTTGGCTCTACCCATATCGATCGGGCATTTTCCATATTTCTGACCAGCAAAGTTTCCATTGCCGCTTTCCGTGAACTGAAAGACAATTATTACTACCAATATCAACAAGTTATCCGAAATTTCTGTGAAAAAGCGAAAATACCGTTTAATGGTGATGAGGATGATTTTGAACCATATAGTCTGGATATTGATCGTACATGCCCGGCATTAAAAACTATTATGAAACAAATGAACGTGCCAGAGGTGGAGCAACTAGAAGAGGATAAATGGACGATTGATGTGGAATTTGAGGATATCAAAAACTTTTTTGATCAAAGTATTAATCAGATTTTGGAAGAGATCAAAAAACAGTTGGCTTCATCAAATGGTCAGATTTCTGCGATTTTCCTGGTTGGTGGGTTTGGCGAGTCGCCATATCTGGTCAAGAGAGTTAGGGAAGAGTTTAGCAGCAATGTCCCTACTATTGCAGTGCCTGCCCAGCCAATTATTGCCATTGCTCGTGGGGCTGTAGCATATGGTAAGCATAAGAATAAGGATCTTGCCTCGGTTTGTAAAACTGCTACTCAACCACGCACGTCATGTTAAATTTATTTCATCTCTCAAGGTCTTGATATGCGGGTGGTCCAGACACGTGTTTTAAAATGGACATATGGAATCGAGGTCAGTTGTCCATGGCAAGCTGGTGACCCTGTGCACCGCAAAGGCAGAGATGGACTTCAACAAACATTCCAGAGGCTTGCTAAGCGTGGCACCCAAGTAGAAGTAGATGAAGACTTTGTGATAGACTTAAAGCCAACGCACGAAGGACAGACGGAGATGCATTTTCCTATATATTATACATCAAAAGAAAACTCAAAGTATTGTGATGATCTCGAAATGCGGCGTCTGGGATTATTAACCATCGGTAAGTGGACAGTGAGTTAGGTATGAGAATATGTTAGTCATGAATGTGTGGCTGATCCTCTTTTATTTATTTCTTAGATCTTCCTACCACCGCAGATGAAACAGAAAGAACCGTAGAGTTCAGACTGATATTTGGACAAATGGAGCTGAAAGCTGCTGCCAAAATTAAAAAGACAGACAAAACTTGTCATGCAGTATTCAAATTGAGCGAATACTAGATCACTAAGCAATAGTAATCTTCTTTTATGACTTAATTTATTTTTACCGTTGTGCAATTTTCGAACATTCCAGAATAAACTACAATTTTCGTACTACATCTACTTGATGTTTTGTGTGGATCAAATATAAGGAAAATAAACACGGTTAACTCACATTCTTAAACAACCCACATTTTTACAACCCTGGCTCAGAACAAGATTACCTACAAAAGTGCAAGTAAAATCCAAGAGACATATGATGTCTCGGTTGAAACATTGCCACCTCCGGAAAGGTTGCCGAATGTGACCAATTAACGATTTGTGACCGCGATCCATCATATAGTCTGTGTTTGCATGTTTCATGCGCGTTTTCGGTTCCGCCATTCAAATACCGACAATCGTAAACATATTTAAAGTCATTATCCCCCAAGCTCTTTAACCATTGCAATATTTTGCTCATTTGAAAATCAATATCGTAAACACATAATCTCTCCCCTCAATGCTAACATTACCACCACCACCAAAAAGGGTTCAAACAAAAGCCCAAGAGGTTCAAGAAGGAAGTGAAGAAACCTTCAGCAGGCAAGGTGCGAGTATTCGCATTTATCCCAACCAGCAGGAGCGGCTGAAACTCAGAAGATGGATGGGAACAGCACGATGGACATACAAACACTGGGGCAAGTCTCGTGGGGAATATTCCTTTCTTTCTAAAATCAAGTCAGCAGAACTTCTTCCAAATAAGCTTGAATATGATAGCCGTCTTGTTATGAATCGACTTGGGGAATATTATCTTTGTATACCCAGACCACTTGAAATACCAAGGCCCTATATCTCAAAAGGTATTGATCTAATTTTTTTATTATATTATATTATCTATTAAATTAAAAACTTTAATTAATTATATATTTAATAATTTAATAGTAACATCAGGAGTGATTTCTGTGTATGACAGGTTATGATCCAAGTGGAGTAGCTGTTGGAAGGGGTAAAAATGACATTGGCTTCAAAGTAAACGCGATTGTATTCATGAAACCGTTACAGGTAAATTTTATTAATTAAATTATTTATTTATTATTGTCACTATAAACTGGCTAGATGGCTTTGCGAAAACTGTCGTATAATATTATTCGCACTCAAGGAATGATCCGACGTGATTCCAAGACTGCTCGAGACATTATCAGCATTTGATCCATAAGGCACGTGAGCATCAGTAGTAATTTGTACATAAGTAAAACTTGTAGATGTGGCCCATTTCGATTTTGCAAAATGTGATAATCTACAGAAAAAATTGTTATCACAGTGATACACATAGCATACTATTCACAATAATATTCATCCTTTGATACTAAATGTATGAGCGAACGAAAAGATTTACTTTATTATTTTAGATTAAACATAATTTCTAGTCGTAAGCTATGAATGATTAGCACAATGGTTATTTGTGGGATGACAGTTTGAGTTACAACTATTATATACACTTTTACAAGAACATCTTTTCGTTGAACACTTATTGTTACAGTTGCTATCAATCATACGATCGATACTTCGTAGTATATCAAAATTGTTAAATTTTCAACAAAGTCATACATCATATACGATCGATGCTTCATAATCCGGATGATGTAACATATCAAAATTGTTAATTTTTCAACAATGCTATCCGTATCACATCATACGATTGTTTAATAGGTATCTGACCTGATAACTGCAGATGGCTAAGGCAAGTCAGATGATCTGAACAAATATAATGAATCGAATTTTTAATATTGGCCCTCAAGATTGACATACTAAAATAAACATGTCTAATAATTACTTTAACTTCATATCTCTTGCCGAATTCGATAAATTGGTGGAGAATTACTTGAATAACATGTCACCCGAGTTCAGTATATAGGTGAAACGAAAACCCTATTACTCGACCGATGTGCGTTAGAGAGGATATGTATGATGCAATCGGTTCTGTTCATGAAAACTTGCAACACAAAGATTCGACGAGCTCAAGGAACGATACAGCTACATTCCTAGAAAATTAGTTGTCGCCTTTGTCAATGTAACTTCTGCACAACTCGATGGCCAATGTTAACTCAAACAGTGGACTTGATCGATCTGAGAATTCAACCGGATGGTGACTACAAATACATAGCTCATGCCAGAGATTATTTCCCGAGCAAGCGCAAATCCAAGATATAAACACTGGATACTGCAAGCGTTCAGTATAATGCAAATTGGCGAAACGAAAATTATATTACTCAAAAAATGTGTGTGTGTTAGAGAGAATATGTGCGATGTAATCTGTTTTATACAATGTGTATTCAGTGTTAACAAATAACTAGTTGATAAAAGCGTCAATAATTAGAAACACTAATTTCTTTTCTTTTATTATTATTATGTTATTCATATTTGCTATTCATAAATAAATTCGCTTGTTCGAGTGTTTATTATATTGTTGATACATTATGAAAGTGATCAACCCTGGCATAATTCAAATGAAGTTGCTACGTGACGATATTTCCCTTTAGTTATATTTGGAAACTACTACCATCACCGCTGCAAAACAAGTTGCATATAACGTTAAGTAAAAAAAATGCTTGTTATACATATTTGGTATAGTCTACAAAATATCTGTTATAGCGCGTGTTACAGTGACAAAAAATTATTATCACATTTTGCAAAATCGAATGTTAATGGTGTTCGTAATATTCTTCTTCGATATCTTGCAAAAAAGGAGTCAGCTTAGGCTGACGCGGGAGCCTATTCCCTGACAGGACTTGTTATTCCTAATTATTAGTAATGATAGGTCGTTTGGATCACGTATTCTCTAGTTATGTCAAAAGGATTTCCCAATTAAAAGGATATTAGTAACTGCGAGGGTGACAATAAAATGTTATAATTCAGATAGTAATTAATATTAATATTAATTTATTAATAACCTCAATGTCACACAGACGTAATAATAAATTTCCCGGAGATTTAACTCCGAATTTCCTTGCAGCAGGGATGCATAAATTTGTTACAAATAGAAGATAAAAAACAGGCGCCCCCAAAATTGGATCACCCTTTTCCCTCATCTTTAACTGTACGAACATCATTAATCATCATGGTGGCGTTCGGAAACGGAATTCCATATCGACAAGGCGGGCCTATCAAATTGTTGGAATATGATGTAACCACATCGAGGATCGAGTTAGAAGAGGAGGCTTTGGCGATAATTAATGCGATAGACGAGCCGATTGCTGTAATTGCAGTTGGTAAGAATGAGGAACGGGGTGCTGGGAAGGAATGATTTTATATAACAAGTTGGCTTAAGAAAACCAATTACGCTTTCAATGCCTTATAAACATGTTTCCCCCCCTTTCTTACGCATTTCTAACGTACTCTAACACCACTCGCCTGCAAAACATAGTTGGAGCATTCCGTCGTGGCAAGTCATTCTTTGCAAATCTTTTAAATGGTCGACATGACGGCTTCAAACTCGGTAACGAAGTCAAAAGCTGTACACGCGGTATCGACATGTGGGATACTCCTTTCTACCACAACGGTGCTCGTGTACTTATTCTCGACTGCGAGGGTATCGATGATCCCGAACAAGACTATCGCTGGGCTGTGAAATTATTCATCCTCTGTCTCGTGATTTCTTCTACTTTTGTATACAACATAAACGGAATCGTTGAGAGAGATGATATCGGACGTTTGTTTTTGATGAGCGATTTGTCAAAGTATATCAGTCCACCAAAGGATACAAAGTATCTGCCGCATTTGGTGGTTTTGCTAAGGGATTTTCATTTAATAGCACCGGATGACTTTAGAACTCATTTTCTGAATCAACTAGCTGCGGTCAACCGTGAAGGTGAGAGCTTGATGGGTTGAGTGGGTGGTGGGGTGAGGAGAAGTGGTGGGTTGAGGAGAAGTGGTGGGTTGAAAGCGCGAATGGCTTGCAAGTATGCTGAGCGACTATTTTACTAACTTTATGCAAATATCAATTTACAAAATAGCTGCTGAGGCGGTAAAAAAGTCATTTGCGGATTTTGATGTGTTTCCATTGTCGGTAAGATTACAACATTCTCTTATATCTACTTTGTTTCTCCATTTCCCCTCACATTCCCTCCCTCATTTCTTTCTATCGATCCAATTCTGACTTTTTTCCTCTGATCTACTCATCAGCATCCATGTAGACAGCAGGAAGATCTTCATAAACTTAGTTATCTTCCATCTTCTAGACTCGATCCCACCTTTATCGATCAAGCTACCCTAGCCATAAATGCAATCTTTGCTTCTCTTTCTCCAAAGTACATTTCGGCTACCTTGATGAACGGCCTTTCCTATGCTAAATTCCTCGAAGCATGTATCGATAAAATGAATGACCCTAGAAATTCGGGAGAGCTGTCCATTCCATCGGAATACGAATCTGTAGCCATCTACATTTCTCAAAAGGTGACAAAAAGCAGCATGACCGTATATAAAAGCAAGATGAATTTTTACTTGAAGGAAAGGGGTGGAATGCCATTGATTTGGGAAGAATTTATAAACGTACATGCGATGGCGTTTAAAGATGCTCATTTGACTCTGTTGAAAAAATTGATCGGAACGGCGGGGCAGATTAAGAAATTTGAAATAACATTTTTTGACAAAATCGAAGATCACAAGAAAAAATATCAGAAGGAGAATAGCAAGGGCTTGTACAAGAGGAATGAGGGTATTGCAAAAAGCTGTTGGCATCGTGCTACGTCTGGGCTGATTAATAGTCGTATGGTATGTACTCTACAAATAATTATGACAAAGATTGTTGGGTTCAGACTTTCTAATTGATTATTACTTTTGCTCAATATCAGAGTGCATCGACTTTTAAATCAATCATCCTTGGGTTCGAATCCGATTATGGCTTGAATTTGCTTAAATGTCCAGAAGCAGCCCAAGTTCTGACCGACTTTCGTAAAACTCATTACTCCGAGTTGCGTGAACAGCTCCTCAAATTCGGTGCCATCACTCCCGAAACCGTTCGTCAGCAGACAGAACGCGAACAATTGGAAAGCGAACTGCTTTCTATGGTTATAGAAGGCGGAACGCTTCGTACGAAATTAGACTTGACTAAAAAAGAGGCAAGATTGATTAATCTTCAATTTAAACAGAAGATAGAACAACTGGAAGATAATATAAAAGAGCAGGATAGTGTGAGCAAGAAGAATTTAAAGGCGACGATTGAGGAACATAAGACAGTCGTTGAGGCTGTGGAAAAGGAGCAACAGACAAAAATTGATGGTGATGAACAAAACGTATTGACTAAAAGACAGAGATATATAAGGCGAGCGGAAGAGGCTTTAACTGTTATTGGGACTATTGCAGGTATTGTTGGAAGTTTGGCTACTATATTTCTAAATCACTAAACTAAAGCGATTGAATTAGACCCAATTAATATGTAATCATGATGTAGATAGCGATTTATGTATAGCATTACCTGAGCAAAAAGTATGGAGAAAAATTACTTGTAATCTGTATTTTTTTAATAAATATATTCAATTCCAATTGAGACAGAAATAACACACTATATCTCTATTATATGCTAATTCTATATTGAGTGAGTGGCAACATTAACGTTAATTGTCAATATCACGTGAGAGACTTTTTGTTTGTTTTTGGTTTGCGACTAACCTTACAGAGTATTGTGGAATTTTGATATACTCGAAACGAATTATGTAATAATTAAGGTTTAATTAATAAGGGGTTATCATTATTATTGTACTAATACTAATATAGAAATTAATTACCGTTATTAGTATGGCATTTATTCTTGTACACATACCAGTCCCATACAAGTGACACTATATAACGACATCTTGTTATAACGACAGAAATCTTGGAACAAAAATTTTATATTGCTTAGTTGTCGTATGTAGGTTAATTCTCGATATAAGGACATTCTCGATATAGTGGATCATTCGGATTGGAACCGAGCGTGTCGTTATATCGAGGCCCACTTGTACTATTATTCGAAATCTGTGTATAGTAATAATTGTCGCGGCTGATGCTGAAAAACGTAGGCGTATTATTCAGTGCAACGTGTTTCATAACTTGTTAATGGCAAATAAGGTCGATTCCAATCAAGCGCTGATTTGATTATCTGCTGATTGAACCACGTTTTCTTGATTAATATCAACCAGAGGATTGAGAAAGGAGAGCTATAGATCGATCTTATATTTGAGCAATCAAAGGTTATGTATACATTATCCGACGTTTCTAGCATTTTGTTTTATTAATTGATTTTTAGTAAATATAACGTCATTAACGTATTGGCAGTTGTTTGTCTCGATCTAATTAAATTATGATAACAATTGACTTTTTTAAAAGGCTTTAGAGGCTCTTAGCAGCCCCAGCCACTCAAACAATTGTACGGTAAAAGCGTATTATATTTTAAGGCTTATTGAACAATGAAAAATAATTACAATCAGCAGAAATAAAAATATGATTTAGAACTATTATAATTATAACATATTGCTTAATTTAATTCTGGGACAACAGGCATCAACCCATTATGGACTAAACAGATACTGTTAGTGTGTTTGTATTTTTCAAACTTGTCATCACTGCACAAACTAACCAATTGTCACTGCGCGCACAACGCTTTTTCTATAAACCGTTTAATCATGTGTTTTAAAGACAAAGTATATTATTTCCTAATTCGACTACTCGTAGCTATGTCTTGACAATTTCCCTCTCTATTAATCTGGAACAATTAAAACAGCATTTCAAGATAATAACTACGAGAATCTACAGCATTGAGTTCTTGAAATTGGTTCTAACATTCCTCAATGATTAGTCCGACTTTAAACTGTTATTCGTCCTCCTTGTACCGCAAGTACAGTTGATGAACTATAGAACCACATTCTTTATTCTTTCGCCGCCGGCTCGCTACTCTCTTTCTCTCTCACCAATACTTTAGCGGGATAATAAACACCCTTGTCTCCTTTTCCTTCTGTATCGTCCACCCTACACCCAACCGCAGGGAAATAACAGATCTGTACTTCATGATCAACGTCATCCATCTCATCCACACCAGACCACTCCATAAGCTCCGAGTCTAACTCGCTTCCAGAATCATAAAACTTCGCCTGCAGAGGTGGTTCCTGTGTCTGGAGTTTGAAAAAAAACGTTTTCAGTATTCGGCAAACTAAATCATTCGCCTTTGCGTCGACTGTCGCTTTCTTCTTGACGTCAGTAAATTTTCGATACTGGGATAATGTCTTATCAAGGTTGGATACAATGTCGGTGACTAGAGGATGATTCGTGGATGCGAAGCCTCTCGAGCCCAAGACGGCGTTGGAAATTTGCCTGATACGTATTGGAGCAATTAAAGAGAATTTATCCATGCTTAGTCGACTGTTAACAAAAGTTTGAAGCTGGTTTACTAATATATGAGTCAGTTCTCTGATCTCGCATTCTAGAGTGCTATCGGGCGAGCTTGATTGCGTTGACGCCTTTTGAAAATACTCATTGGCTTGGGTAAACACCTCTTCAAATATCAATCTTTGTAAAGCTGCTTGGAGTAGAATGTCGTTCATATCGCCTTCCTTTATTCTACACTTGTATTTTTGAAGTAGAGGTTTGAAATTGTCATGATTAATTTCCACTCCTTTCTTGAGATTGGTATAATTAGACAAAATTCCATCCAGTTTCTCTAAATCTTTTCTTAACGAATAGGCACTATTGGCATCGTTATCTGACCATCTTATGTTCACGGCTGCTCCAAACCGCGACTCCATGGATGACAATTCATTCTCAAGGCTTGCCTTTTCCTGTCTGATCTGTGTAAATTCGGTATCTCGTGATTGTGAAGCTTTACGCCACTTTTCAATATCGTTTTCTAATCGCGCTTTCGTAGATTCTAGCTCATGCACTTTGCGGGTCAGTACATCAATTTTAGATTGCTGGTGATGGTCAATTTTATATTGTTGTTGACGGTCAATCTGAAATTGCATTTTTTCCGCCTGTTGTATCTGTTCAGGTGCCGCAATTGGATTTGACTGTTGCAATAATTGGTTGGTTGTTGCAACGGGTTCTTGGACTACTGGCGGTGGCGGCGGGGTTTCCTGTCTCGCTTCGGCTTCTTGCTTTAAATTTTGTTGAGACATGTTATCACTCGAAGGACTTGTCGCTTATTTCGCTATGACGAGCTGTGCGTTACGAGTTGATTGAAACGACTTTGTAATATTCGAAGGCTTAGAATGCGAAGTGGCATACAGTAAGAGGCTGTCGTAATTACTGTTATTCCCTTTCAACGTTTGCCATGTGAGTGAATGTTTTCAGTCAGCTTTATGCCTATTTTTATCGCCATGTTCGACTGTCACAATAATCTTATCGTTACAATACGTAGTAATACATTTCATAATTTGATTGGATAATCAAAAACTTGCGCGGGAATAGATTGTAAACGGGAAAAGGAAGGCTCAATACATTGACGATTATGTGATGAGCATTTGGGGAGGGTCGGAATTTTTATTTTTGATGTATTGGTTCGCATACGATTGGATTAAGGTCTACTGACAAAACTTATACGGCGTAGTATTTCCAATGACTTTAGTTGTTGATCGAAGTCAAGCCACTCTGAGCATTATTATTATTATGGGGGGTTTAATTGTTTAATTTAGATGCAGATCTCTATGTTAATTCACCAACATTAACTTGCGGATGACTTCTCATCTTAAACCATACCTCGATAAATATCCACAACATGCTCCTGTGTTAAATCAAGTATATCTTGATTTAGTATATGGCAAGTTTAACTGTTTATATCTCCACAGCTTTACATCAAGACATTAATCGTTTGATCAAACAGTCAAGGAATGGGTTGAAGTAATAATAAAGGACATTGAAAGTCTCCGGAAATGTATCATACTTGCTCGATCTAAGCCTGAAGTAGGATATGGTCCCGATTGATTTGATGGAAACATTCTACTTGACGAAAACTAGTTAACATCCATTCCATTTAGCAAACTCAATTTCAAGTAGTTGTCCCGTGTTCACTATTAGAGAAATGGTCTATTAGAAGGTAAGCTCAGCTTAACATTGATAATTGTGGTTGATGAACGGTGTGCTCATTGTCACTTTACTATACCAGTTTATTGCAAGTAATGGACGTTATTCCATCATATTTATCTGCCCAGTGGTTAGTGTTAACCAATGTTGCTTTATACACAGTTTGTTTTTCTTATTTAAATATTATCTTTTACATACGTTGCAGTGTCATACTTGCCATAACTTCAACTGACTCAACAGTAGTATACTACAAGATAGGCCATGGACTTGCTGCTCCGAATCTTGCAGAAGATCATGGTCAGAAAAATGTAACATCATCCATAGCAGTAGAAGACAAAACTGATACAAAAAGTTGATAGACTGTATATCCTTGTACTGGATCCAGTATACTGATATTTAAGATGCATTGGATTATAAAAGCGAACAAGTGTTGAATCTTATCAAATTGCCTTTTTTATATGATTATCATAGACTATTATCTCACATATCTAAAGATTTGAATGCTAAAGATTTGAAACGCTATTAACGCGAATTAGCTGTAACATCACAAGATCAATAACCAAAGCCGTCTCAAATACCTCGTATAGCACATTTGCAAACTACGGATTGCTAGAAGCCATAAATTCTGCCACTTTATCGAACTGCATCGAAAATCTTTAATAGACAGCTTGATTCAATCCTCCTCGGCAAGTTATCATAACTTGAATGGATTCCCTGTTCTGAAATCACTGATATTAAGTCAACTCCAACAGACGATATCTATTACGCTAGTCGCAAGCAAACGCGGGGTAATGGTAAAGTTTATGACACGACGACAGTGTTGCTATTCCTTGGAAATAGCCAGAATATACTCACTTTCGACACACAAGTCAAACAATTTAGACGATATTCCAAATGGAGATAACTATTACACGATCTATGGATTCTGCACTGCATGTGAAATACTTCGATGTAGTCCCGTGTGGTGCATAAGAGCAACTCGATGAGATTATCAATTACAAACAAACTCAGTAAATGATGCCTATTTGGAATGGATTCCATTTGATCGTAGTTAATTTACCATCCCAATTCATTACTTAGCACTCTATTTCCTCTCAGACGTCTACTCGCGAATTAGGAGTTCCACTAACTCATTTCAAAATACACGGAGTGAATTTTTGACCAATCAAATAATTCCAAAGTAAATAGCAAAATCGCCGAGCTAGGATTGCACCAATAATCTTGCAATTAGCACCGAAATCTAATATACTGAATCAGTACATTGTTGATTTTACAAGATAGTATTTTAATAATGGCGTCTTTGTTATAGTCTATTAATATTTGTTTCTGGATCTTTTTTTAATTGCATATAATTATATTTTATGACGTAAGGTATCAATAATACTGAACCAACTCATTGATCAAACTGGCATGGCATGATGAGCATCGCGAAAAAAAAAAAAGTCAGAAACAATAAATCTTGCTTACCTGTTGATCGCGCTCAATCGTAACCGTAATGAGCAGTAGCATCAACGCTACAATAATCAATCAGCTTTACCTCTTGTTATAAATACTCATCTACCAATTTTCTCTGTTCTGCTAATTTCGTATTTTTGTTGTAATAATTTCTCTCCAACTTAGCCTTAACTAAATTTTCTCAATAGTCTTGCTTTTTCCTCCTTACGAGCATTATACTGTAAACCATTCCGAAAATGTTGGCACGTATCACATAAATCAGTTCTTGGACTCATGATTTGAATATAAGGCGTTAATATTAATTGGTGTCATAACTTGCGGAATGCATCATAATTTAATAATTTCAACGTGCGATCGTTTTCGAGACCTGCAATAAAATTGTTTCGGCTGGCAAAAGCGTAAGCGATTGAGTAATTCGGTTGACGTTTCTATCAGGACTTGGTAATCCATATAATTCTCGAGAAAATTCTTCACGGTTGTAGCAACGTCTTTATCAATGGTTATTTTGGTCTTTCATCATTCGTTTCTAGATGATTTCGAGTGAGTGCGACCAATTCCTAACATGTTAAGGCACAAAGGGACGTATTGCGATCTCAATAATAAAAAGGTTTGTTATTAGTACGCCGGCTGAGTAGTATGTTTATGTTCATTCTGGCACAGTTTTTGGTACCGCATTTTTTAACCGAGTTAGCTAGCAATTAGCGCGCGGAGCGCGGGCTAGCAAAATAAGGTTAATAAAAATTTTCGTTGAATTAGCTAAAAAACGCTAAAAAATTATAGGTCTAATAAAGATTTTCACCGAATTAGATGCTAAATCGTCGTTTATGTATAAGTTAGACCAGCTTTTTTTTGGTACCGCATTTTTTAACCGAGTCTCCGACTCATAAAAATTTTTTTGGTACCCTTCTGTGATGATATTGAGTAATAACCTTTAATTCGCTGTGGTACCACTGTGGTACTGCTAAAACTTTTTGGTACCCGAAAATTTTTTAACAGAATGCTAACAAAGTGTACGATTTTTCTTAAGATGTTTCTGATAATACCTACCAACGTAAAAGCGGGCAACTATACTCACCAATCATTGTTTTCGTTTTAGGGAAAATCTCTGTGTATATGAGGCAAACATTTAATTGAACATAAGTTCACTATAAGTAATATATAAAAGTTCTAGTACCATTATTCGTCCCGCGATATACGAAAAATTTGGTGTTACCACAGCAAGTGACAGCAAAAACATGAAGTCATCATAAATATAGACCAAATGAAAACAGCTTATCCATACAGTGACATTATACATGCTCTTCTATATCCAAGAAAATGAGTACTTCAAAAAATATTCGAATACAGACAATTAATGTTTAAGGACCCAATCAGGTGGCAATTCAGTGTCGTGTGGAATAATCATTAATTCTTCACGAACAAATGATCTTTGAGGCCCATTTCCGTCAATATCTTGCAGCCAGTACAAAACGGGCTGATTTTTTTGTATGAGCGATTCTTTGATACGATAAATTTGCGGTGACCAAATAGAATCAGTCGCGCGACGTCTCCCTCCTTCCAATTCACCGGCATCAAGTAAATATCTAACCGAATTATTATGAGTTAAACGGATTTCGTCATAACCCATAGGACCATTGCGAGGCTTGGACGGTTTTGCAAACACATATTTCTTTTTTATCGCTTGTGCCGGAGTCATCCCAATCAAACGGGATACAGAATTATTAAGGTCGTTGACAATAGTTGGCAGATTTTTTACCCATGCCCTTGAACGTTTATTTAGGGGTAACAAAGAATCTTCAGCATCTTGTATTATGTATAACCGTTCAGCCAATGTACGATTATACCTTTCAACAATGCTAACTCCGCGTTTAGTCTTAGCTTGTATATGATTTATATTGTATTTAGCGTAAAATTTATTGCAATCACCGACATACTCGGAGCCTTTATCAGTTATTATAACTTTCGGAAATTCAAGAGGACAATCAGGATCATTATAGATTTTTAGCATAGCCTTAACAATCGCCTTAGAGGTGAGGATGTTTTCTCGAGACTGTTCGTCATTGCGTAAAACAGCACCAATAGGAACTGACGCTTTATACCGCGAAGCGACATCTACGCAATTGGCACAAAACATATATGTCTTTCTCCCAACTTTATCGTAAGAGGTATATAGCGTATCCCATTGATGTACCTCATTCGGAATATATTGTATTGAATGCTACACGTGGAATAAATTTCGGGCGGGGCTTATGTATTTGGTGCAACGCCTGTTTGTTTAACCATTCTCTAACATCAGCCAATGAAAAGTTATTTCCGGTTTTTTTACACGCATCGCGCAATTTTTCAGCGGTACGATAATAACCCTGAGGTCTATAATACAATTTCCAAGCTCAATAGCAATGTCGAGTCTACGTGCTATTTTGGGATCAATAGAAATAATGGGAACGTTGCTTGCCATTTTTTGATCAACTATAATAATGGAAGACAATTTGCTAGATCCAGCATTTGTGCAACTTGCACAATCGAATATCGAATTACGGGAGGAATTAAATCGCGAGGTAGAAATAAACCGTACGAATGAGAGAAAAATCCATAAGCTTATACGGGATTTAGAAAAATGTGAGGGAGAGTTAACACGTCGTAGTACCACTATCCTTGATCAGGAAGAGGAGATCCAAAACGTAAAAAATCAAATAACAGATTTACGCAAACAATTAAGATCGGCTCTCAAGGAATTAAGGCAAACGAAACCGTTATTGATGCCAAAAATAACCAGATAACCGGGTATGAGAAGGATATTTTAAAACTTAAGGCGAGAATCAAAGAATTAACATGTCACAAAAAAATATCGCCTAATCAAATAGAAATGACATCTTCACCAAGATCACCAAGAATCGGAGATGACACAACGCTTGCATCATTTGAAAGTCTCTGTCAATCAATCAGGAATAATTTACAACACTTTCCTACTACAACGTTAGGAAATACAGTTAGGCGGGCTTTGGATGGAATTACTCAACATTACAATCAATCCCAGGATGTAATACATAATTTAGAAAGAAAATTACGGGACTTACGTAATAATGCTACATCAACAATCCAACACCATCAAAATACGAATTACAACCTAAATCAACGGCTGATACAAGAAATAGAAAGAGCGAATAAAGCTACCCTTGACAACGGAGCATTGTGGAGAACCAATGCAAATATACGGGATGCGTGGTGCATGTGTGAAGAGGATTATAGGAGCGAAAAATTAATGCACACATTCTGGCGAGTCTATTATGCGAAAAATTATTATCTAAAATTTTCGCTCTCAAACTTCTTTGCAATAAGTATAAAAATAAAGCCCAACCGCGCGCTATTTTATATGGGAAATACAATAAATGGAAAAATAGGACAAGAGCAAAACACGCCAAATATAGTAAATGGAAGCTTAGAACGAGGCTAGTCCGCGATGCTAATTTAGAATTTGAAGATCGAATTAATTTTTTAAATCAGAGAATTTTAGATTTACAGAATAATATACAACCACAAAATCAAAACATGGCAACTTTATCTGATGTTACGATATCATTAGCACCAAATATTGCCCAAATTCCGCAATATACAGGGCAGGAACCACCAGATGATTATGTTAATAAAATCAAACAAGTTTTTTCATATGGGATAGCCTTCAATGTTAACGAGTTTAATGATGCTGTAAAGACTAATATCTTAAAGTCCAAAATGTCTGGTAAGTACGCACCAGTCCCCGCACAATATCCCGCTGGTACTGATATTAACACTCCTGCTCTATTCAGAGACTGGATTAGACACAGATATCATGAATTGACTTTAGGATCACGCCAGGCCTCTTTATCAAAATTGGCTCAAGAAAAATTCTTACCAATAGATACTCCAGAAACTTATGAAGAGAGAATTTGTTTGCTATTGTTACAGACACCAAATAATAATGCTGATGCTTTGGCAATATTATGGAACCATTTGCCAGATGAACTCTTTACACGCGTTAAGATTGCTAATCCAGGAGATATAAATGCATTCTTTACTGCTATCAAAAATACATGGCAAGAACGAAAGCCTGTTACTTTTGCATACAATGGGGGTCTCATTGGAGCACCACTTATTTGCCCAGTTCATTACCACTTACGCAAGAACAACCATTAGAATCAACTCAACAAGTTTCTCGAAATAAGAAGGCATATGATCTTTTGGAAATAATTGCTATGAGATTGAATTATCCAGATAATGCACCCCGAGATCCAGATGCTTTTAATAATTTTATTGAAAATGAATTAGGAAGACGATTAGGGTATGAAAATTTTCATCTTTATCGCACACCCATAGAGAAAATTAATACAGTCAGAAGAGTTTCAGGCACAAAGCGCTTCACTCCAGCCATACGACAGCAGAAGTCAGTATGCAAAAATACAAGGGTAAAAACGCGACAGCCCCCTGACATACAGCCAAAAAAAACCAATTACGCAGTAAGATTTGAGGAAGAATATCATTCAGATAGCACCTCTGTAAATTCAGAAGAATCAGAAGAGGAGGACTTGTCTGATCAAGAAGAGAGTTCTGAGGAAGATGAGAACAATTCACGTCAGTCTTTTGGGTTAAAAAAAAAAAGGTAGAAAAATCTGGTTCTAAGAAAAAACAAAAAGCAGGGGCTTCGAGGCCTCGCTTCTCAGTTACAGAACAACGCAGCTCAAAAAAATCGTCTACAATAGCTATAATTCAAAAAATATTCCGTGCATCATTTAAGTCAATGATAGAGGCATTGATTAAGGAATGTCCTGAATCCCTTTTACCACAGGTTTTAGATTATTTGGGTAAAGTATATAACAGTTTGAAGGATAGGCTTCTAGACAATTTTGCCTCGAAATATTCTTCCAAGGAGAAAGAGGTAATTTGGAGGGAGGTCACTAAAATTTATAACGATATTTTATTTCCTTTGATTGAAAGCGTCGATCGGATTAATAAATCAAATGTACAACCCCAGACCAACACATTAAATTTCGCAATCAAGAATTATTATGCAGAAAGCTTACAGAGCAAGGAGGCTTTTGCCTCTGCCGCTTCATGCCTCGATCAACAAGTGAAAAAATCTTATTGGCCAAACCCAACGCGGGAGATCAATTTTATTCAAGTTAGAAGTTCTGATGACGTAGCAACAATAACGTGCAAGATTTATTCAACAATCGTGCCATATTAATATGCATTGATCGATTCTGGTTCAAATGAGTCGATTATTTCAGATGACATTGCAGAAAAAACAGGGCATAAAATCGATAAATTAAATGTCCCATCGATTACAGGCATTGCGAGTAAGGCTAATGTAATTGGTACGGTTTACGATTTGCCAGTAACTATTGGCAGTGGTGATGATGCGATCACTATTTATGATAACTTTTCTGTTGTCAAGGCTGAAAGAAATAGAAACGGAGATTATAAATCTTTAGTATTGTTTGGGACACCATGGCTTAATAAAATTGGATGGGAGCCTATTGCGAATCGCGAGTTCAAGGTAAACAATAATGGAAAGTGTCTAACTATACCTCTTTCAGTACATAAATCCCAGCGCGAAGTGTTTACAGCAGAAAAATTGGAACACGTTCCAGTTGTTTGGCCACAGAAGGCTTCTGTCAACGATTTAGTATTAAAAAAAAATTGAGTGAGAACCGAAGGCTTCAAGGATCTGCCTCCCGAACATGTAAATATTGTGGTAAGCTGTTTCAATATCCTTGCAGGTTAAAAGAGCATTTGCGCGCAAAAAATAAATGTATTTTGTCAATAAATGACAGTAGCCTGACAGTTAGCGACAGCATTTCGACAGTGAACAACAGTGTTCCAACAGTGAACAACAGTGTTCCGACAGTAAACAACAGTGCTCCGACAGTGAACAACATTGTTCCGACAGTGAAAGACAGTGCTCTGACAGTGAACAACAGTGCTCCGATGAAAAAAAAAAGTGAGCAATTTGTTCCTATTCGATTGATGTTAGCATAATAAATTTGGTTTCATTGTGCAAAGCGTTTATTTTTTGTTGTGTTTAAAAATGGAATAAGCGGTGGTACCATTGAGTCCATATTAGTTCTTTCATATGAGTCAGAGACTTGCCCCTTCAGGAGTGGTACCACAGCATTGTGAAACAAAGTTTCTGAGCTCGTGTCTAACTTGGTAAAAGTTTCAGCATTATCAGGAGTTTGTGTAAGTGGCTTTGCAGAGCAAATATATACACGCCTTAAAGAGGGCCATGGTACACAAGCCTTATTAACTGAGCCTCGAAGCTCCGCTTCTTCAATGATACGACGCCATCCTTCAGTCGGTTCAGAAGGCATTCGATTTTTAATTATATCGTTATATCGCTTCGTACCTATATGGTACTTTTTACACATCACACGACATGCATTCGGAATATTTTCCGGTGCGTTTCTGATTTCTTCGATAGCTTCAGGTGTCAATGGAGTGGCATCCGGTCTGAGAAATTTACGAACGCAAATCTGATGTGGTGGTGGTTGGTTGTTCATGATTAATATATTGGGAAAAAAAATAATAATAAAGTAAATTTAATTCTATATGCTACCAGTTTGATATTGATATATTTCTGTAGTGTTATGTCGAATCGGACAATAATAAACTTATTTTTATTCTACCAGGTTGACATCATATTCTCCCTTATTTTGTGGAATTAGACAATAATAAGCTTATTTAATTTTGTACGCTACCAATTTGACATCGATATATTTCTGTGATATTATGTTAGATCGGACAATAAAGGTAAAAAAGAAAGTTTTCGACAAATTATTTGTGTCTAAGTGATATCACAACGAAAAGGTCGCTATTTTGTTAGCTTGACGCATTTCTGTTCTAATATTTTGTAAACATGCATAGTGTAAGGCGAGTTTCTGAGCATTAAATCCATCATGGCGGTAAATCCATTCCACGATTTTTCTTTGTATCTTTATGCACGCTTGAATCCTTTTACCAATTTCCCTTGCGCGTTTGAGTCTTCTGATTGCATTGCATTCCCATAACTCATAACGATGTAATGCATACTTATTGTCATAATCATATCCGGAATTAGATTTTTGTTTAATTTTCACATACTCTTCATAATTTACACTACAGTATTTATTTCCGGTACATGGAAATTTCCAATGCTTCTCCATTCCTATATGGTTATAATTTCCTATATTCTTTTTTCTTTGTCCGGTGTATACTGTTGTATGTCAGATAGGAATTTATGTCAGATCGGAATCTATGTCCATTCCGAACTGACATATGTCAGATCAGAATTTATGTCCATTCCGAACTGACATATGTCACATCAGAATCTATGTCCATTCCGAACTGACATATGTCAGATCGGAATAAGAAAGACCATCAGGTAACGACCTTATAAAAGTATTTTATTGACATTACGATATCAATCCTACATGCGTATAAACAACAGCGTTTGTT